TCGGTTGTAATAATATCACAATGCTAGGAGTGTATAACAATCATAAAGACATCTGCATCACCTCGTCAGTGACTGCAGCTGGGACCTTCATATCAGGTGGCAAACACATTTGCATTTACCTAATGAGTTAGAATCCAAAGATCAGTGGATAGTAACTTCTGTCAATTCGCGATATAGCGCCACTGCCTACCAATGTCATCCAGTTAGAATAAATAACGGTACAACTTACTAGCATCCACTGAAGGCATCTAATCTCAGCCAAGGGTATGAGAACAGAGTAGTATATGACTATCCATACAGAATTCTCAAAAGCTCATTATATATTTGATTAAACTCTTTAGGTATTGTCTAGAAGGACAATGAAAGTTTCACAGTAAAAGCATCCAGCTCAGACAGTGCAACTACATCAAAAATATCCACCAGAGCTAGAAATCTTCTCCATCATTGTAACTTCTATTGACTTGTGATAAAACACCAACACTCTTCAGTGTTACATCGATGAATTGAATAATGTAATGATGTAGAGACCGAAACCCAAGTGTTATCGTTTAAACTCTGGAAATCGATCTTTGCCTTCTACTGTATAGATAGCCGAAACTTCCCTGAGTCACTCACAGTCACACAATGATTCAATGATAACAGAGAGACAGTTATTTGCAATAAAACCTGCGGTAGTTTTCAGCAGTTGTGATACATGAAAACCCTCAATCACCTGGGAATCGAGTAGAATATTCTCGAAAAGATGGGAACTAAACCCTGTCAAACAACTCTCGCAGACAGTTCAAAGTCAGACAACACATTATCAATATCGTCATCACACAATCCCAAAGAGAAGCATTCAAATTATAGATTGAACTGGAAGAAAGACAAATAACAAGGACAAAGTCAACATATAATATGAAAATGTTAGGACTGTGGTTTATAGTCTAGGAGAAAAGAGTAAAACGAGTACCAAGTTAGTTGAAAAATCCAAGTAAGTATTGGCATTGTAGTTAGATCTTTCAGGAGGGATTTTCCAAACAGTTATCGTAATACAAATGATAATACACTGGAAAACTCTCCAATGGTTACTATAAGATAATTTTTGCGGTTTCGTTCAGTATTAAATTCTTAAAGCATACAGCAATATCAAAATGACACACTTGTTTAATTATTAGTTTACTATCGACAGTAGGTTGACTTAATACTTTATCAATTGAAATCGATATTTTTTCTGAGCATATTCTCCAGACATAAAAAAGTAGTGTAGGAAGACTCAAATATTGACACCTGAAATGAAGTCAAGTAGAATGAATCCAACAGAGTGAATACTCACCTATTTTGGTTCTGAAGAAATGATAGCAAGTTTTCTTCAGACCTCAGTCTGTCTGTTTGGAAATACGATTAATGCTTGTATGGTAAAATTGAGGCGTGTCGTATATTTCTATCTCAATTCATCTGTTCAGTAAGTGAGAGGGAGAGAGAGACGAAGAGAATATGTTTACTATTATGAGAAATGTAAGGAAATTCAAATTACAGATATTACATTTTAAATTTATAACATCATAGAATGAACTTAGTTCAGGTCATTTGCAGTTGTGTAGTCAGTAATGGTTTCAATAATAATAATAATTACTATTATAATAACTGACAAGCTGCACACTGGTCTGCTGGTCAAATGAATTATGATCAATATTATTCTCTATTGTTTAGTTTCGAAACTTTGAAGAAAATTGAAATTAATCAAAGTGCTATTCGTCATAAAATAAGATTAGTTGTATTATTACTTTTATTGTTCCCTTGGGTTCCTAGTGGAACATAGGGCTTCAACTGCATGTCTCCACTTGTTTCTGTCTTCTGCTGTACTTTCACCTGCATCCATGTTAGTCCATACTGTTTCAGTTCCTCTTCACACGATCTCCTCCATGTCACCGTTAGACATCCCACTCACCGCTTCCCTTTCACGTTCCACTCGAGCGTTGGCCTGACGCGCGATGTCACCCAACGGCCTCCTCATCGAGTGTCCAATCCATCTCCACTTTCTCCTGCATATTTGTTGAGCGATTGGTTCTTGTTTTGTTTGTTCCCATAGTTTCTTGTTGGTTCTTGTTCTTTCCGGCCATCTGATCTTCAGTATAGAGCGAAGACAGTTGTTGATAAAGGTCTGCAACAGGCTGTTGGAAATATTCTTGGTGACCCGCCAAGTTTCTGATCCGTATAGAAGAAGTGACTTGACGTTTGTATTGAAAATCCGAATCATTTTGTTGTTGATGCAGGCTGAGTGACGAAGATTTCCAGATTGGTTTCAGGTCGATGAATGTGTTTCTCGCCTTCCCGATTCTCGATTTGACATCCTCGTCCGTTCCGTGTGCCTGTATTTGAGACAATGCTCCCTAGATAAGTGAATGAAGTAACCTCTTTCAAATCCCTCCCGTTGATGGTGATTAGCACTGGATGTTTCTGCTGTTGCTGTTGTTGGTTGGTTAGTTATTTTAATGACCTCCGTCTTGTCTATGTTCACCTGGAGTCCTGTCTTCTCTGGCTGCTTGTTCGACCAGTTTGTCAGTTTTCACTTGTAAGTATTCGATTTTGTGTGACATCAAACATAAATCATCCACGCGCGAAATTCAGGTCTTCTAGGTTGTTCACGTCGGTCCAGGATATCCCTGTCTTCTCGTTTCCCACTATCTGACGCATAATCCAGTCCACCACAATAAGGAATATCATTGGTGGTAATAAGCACCCTTGTCAGACTCCTGTGTTTACTCCAAACGCCTCGCTGAGCTTTCTGTTGTGGATCACTTGACATGTGCCGTTGTCGTACAGCTGTACATTAGTTGTGCAGATTAGTTGTACAACTGATGAAAATTAAATCTGCCTTGGGAAGTGTTTCACTGTAATTTGATAGCTTTCAGTGATGAGAAGACATCAGTTTTGATTCTTGATGTAAACCTCTAATGAGTCAAACCTTTATCATCACTTGCGTTTTACTGGTGGCTAACAGTAAAATATGGAAGAGGTGCATTTCATCCTGAGAAGCAGTCACCTTGAGCTGATGAGTCCCGAATAGGATGAAAGTTGCATCCGAAATTCTACTGTTGCTCGTCTCTAAGACAAGAAACTTCGAGTTATTAATCCTGGTAATGTCGTAGCATCCTTTCAAGGAATCCATACACGAAAGTGAGACTGACTATTTAAGTACAAAATATTTCAATAGGAAACTGCGAATTTCTGTCTCAAGATAGGTGATACTTAGGAAGAAACTAAGGTGCATTATCATAAGAAGATTGAAAATTACTTCAAATAAAAAGGGGTTGGATTCAAGAAAAGCAAAACATGAACGGCTCGAACTGCAAAGCTATGCAGGATCGTTCAACATAGTCTCAAATAAAATCGAATTTGCGCTTCAGTTTTATCAACTTTGGAAAGACTATCGACAGTGTCGACTGTGAAATAATTTAGTGCCTCGAACATTTATAAACCTCAGCCAATGTCTAAATGATGATGCTACACGGTAAGTAATTCATCACGGAAACATCAATGAAGCGTTTGAATTGAACAATGAAGTATGACAAGGCTTCCTATTATCCCCGGTGGTCTTCTTGGTTGTGATGGACTGGATCACGTGCAAGACCATGAAGGCAAGAAGACAGACAGACATTGGATTGACAAGAACTCTAGAAGATGTGAACTTTGAGGATGATTTGCACCTAACATCGTACAAACTCGAGGACGCACAGGCAGCTAAGATTTGAATTCAAGTGAACACGAGGAAGCAAGAGCTAATGAAAATACTTGACTGGCCAACAAAAGCAAGCATCAAATAGCATCAATTTGAAAGATTTAATGGAGGTCTCTTTTTTTATTAACTCGTTTGGGTACCTTCGTTTCGGCTACATGTTGAGCTGTTACAACCAAAACCAACTGTATGTGATCTGAGCGCAGGAAGCCAATCTCGGCGTCCTACTGTATAGCTGACAAAACTTCCCAGAGACACACGCAGTCACTAAGTGCACCAAAGACGGCAAAACGATGATTGATCTTCAGTAAATTTGCGATTCTCATAAGGGCCGTCAGGATGCTACACAGTTCAGTCTAAGTACGAAACGAGTACTTCAAATCAAGTAGAATATTTGCAGAAAAGTGGAATGAGAAACTCTGTCCACAAGGAACACACATCAACGATTCCCACATATAGTCCAAACAATAACTGCATTCCTTCCGAGTGAATAAATGTCCAGTGAGGTCATCTCGCAAGCTTAAAGTCTTCAGCTTTATCCCATTCTGGGATTCATGGGTACGAACTACCGATGAGTCCCAAACTAGGACGAAATATCTGTCTAGTTCCCCCCCCTCTTTCCAACGATTCCCTTAATTACATCAATTCATAAGGTAATTTGAAATAATTTAATCTAACTTTCAAAGTATCGATATTGTGGCGTCCAGTGGGAATTTCGCGAACAACTGTTTCATTACGTTGTTACTTGACATGTATTTGAAAACCTGAAACACCAGCAGAAACCATTGAATTGGTTGACTGCCCGGCACTATATGATTAATTTCTATTGTTCTGTTCTTATGATGAACTGACATTATTTGGATAGATCAATGATAACCAAGGAGAATTGGAAAGCAGTTTCATTCTATTTTTGGGGAATCTTCGATATACTTAGAATTCATAAGTCATTTGATTTGACGCAAGGGGGCAACGAGCTTGGTTTCTTAATCTGGAGGTCCCAGGTTCGCTCCATCCTGGGTTGGTGAACGAGCACTGATGAGGAGTTCCTAAAATCTAACAACTGAAATTAATTCAAATCCCTACAGATCTCATAATCTAGACTGTATGATGAATCACACCCAAATTTCTATCCAATACAAATTATTAGATATTTCAACCAATAGAAATCAGGAGACTTCCACCAATGAAAATACGACAAATAGTTAGCCAATGAACTATCAGTTCATAGAGTTATAAGCTTTTTAATTGGTTATTTTAACAATGACTACTTCATTAGTCAGTTATTTATATCATTGAAATTTGAACATGTGGATTATCCAGAGAGCTGGTTGTTGTTGCTGTTGTTGTTATTATCGTATCCTAAATTTCACAGATCACACATTTTCTAACATGTGATATGTATAACTGAATACAGATTTTACTTTACAGATTGTAAAGCATCTTCCAAAATACTATTACTTCAGAAATTAAAACTGATAATCTGAAATACACCAACTGAGAAGTGAATTATGTATCAGTCTCATAACACACATAATTCTCATTATTGTCAACAATACTCCATGGGGAATTGTTCATTATGTAAGAATGAAAACTACAGGAATGATTATTTACAAAGTGTAAATGATACAGGTAGTGAGGATAGTACATTCCAAAATATGTATATGTCTAATTCTCTGTCTTATCCTCTGTTGAACAGAGAGTACCATCATCCATTGAATATGAATAATAATCATAATAATAATATTGATCCACATAATAATAACAATAATATGACATCAGCAGATGTTACAGAATCAGACAGTTCATATAATTATGATACAACAGTTCTACTGGATACTATGAGAGATTTTGGATGGCCATTTTTTGAAAAATCTACATCAGCATTTTCATTGTGTTCCCATGCAAGATCAAATTTCAGTTCAAGTTATCGTGATTGTCGATTAAGGTATATTAAACAAACAAGAAAGTTACAAAAATATCTACGAATTACACCTGAAGGGCATATATTAGTAAATAATCCAAAAATTGAACATTATCCGAGTACACAACATTATCATCAACAACAGTTGCCAAGCAACCATACTTATAACAATTCAAAGATCAATACCCTTGAATGCAAGAATCATTTAAATAAAATTGCGACATCCACAACAACAACAAATGGACATGAATTATACAATAATCCATTCGGTTCACTTATAAGTACACCAAGAATAAAACGAATTTATACTGCTTTTTGGAATTTAGAACCACGTGAAAGTATCAGTGTACGAAGATTGCACACTTCATCGTCAACACAATTCCCTGTGTCAACAATACCAGCTACACAAGGATCAGAATCACTGTTTCAACCAGTTGCAAATGGATCATCTCCTTACCATTGTATGAATGGTTCTCAGCATTCAAACGGTGATGCAAGTGAGGATGAATTAGAATTAAAAATGCATAATAACAATATATTATCGAGCAATACACATCTAGAACCTGTTATGGAGAAATCGTTTTGCGATAATATCACTACACCGCCTCTTCCACCTCCTCCCCCTACAACTACTAATACTACTAATAATAATCAGAGTGATAATACCGTGAATGGAGTATCCGAGGGAGATGCAAAATCAAAGTGACTTGAAAAAATTTTCTCTCATTTTCCTTATCAAACTTTATTATTCCTCTTGATCTTCATTGTCAGTCAAAACAGATAAACAAAAAAACAAACTATCAATGCTTAGTATGTGATCCAATATTGATTAATTGGAAAAAAACAAAACAACAACAGATGATATTCTAAAAAGTTAACTTATTTATACAAAATATTTTTTATGTACATTAATTACACAAAATGCATTTATTAAATATTAGTACTTTGATGATGATGTCATTTTTAAAGCCTATTGAAGATGTGTAACGGCGTATGAATTATGAAAACGAGAGAAGGAGCGGGGATGAGAAGCATATTCTTGAATTTGTCTTTGACTGGCAGGTAAATTATGTTGAAAGTAATATAAATGGAGTGTTTTGATTGCTGGGGAAACTAAGGTGACCTAGAATAGCTAAGCTTGATGCTATGGGTCCATCAGAACAGGAACAAACCATGTTTCGTCTCGACTTTGCATCTGTTGCCAGATTACAACAGTCGTTTTGTGAGATGTTGGGACTTTTTTTAAAATTTTTTCACTCAGAGATGATGTTATTCATAGACCTCATCTGAGTCTAGGAATAACTTGTCATAGGATTCAGAATTATACTATCACCTGCTCTTAGGTTGACATTGGTGGAAGGTTATAAATATTTACACCAAGAAACGTTGTGTACAGAGGCTAGCAAATTAAGTAAGTTTTGGGAATGCACCCATCAGGAATCGAACCTTAAACTCATGTGAGCATTGGACATCAATCTGCCCCGGAACCACTGACATGATTTAACAGTGTGAAATATCCTCATATCATGAATATTCAGGTTCTTACACTTAAAAAATATGATATTTATTGTTACAGTAATAACAAGTTATGTGGCGGATACATTTTTATGTAATATAGCACCTTTGTCACACAGGTACTATATATTTTCAGATTAAAGGATTTGTAGGAACTATCAATAGCCATTTCACTGATGGCTCCTGGACGAACTTCATTAAGCCACAGTGGGAGGTCGTCACCATTTGGGGTCTACAATCTCAGAGTGAAGTGGATACTCATACGAGGCATTGGTAATAGCAGAGCTACTTCACGAATTCACAGACTTCGAATTCAAGGGTCACTGATTTCTAGCCCAAGTGGCTAAATGATCACTCATCTTGGTTTCATAACCTCAAGATCCTTGATTCTGTCTCTTGTGTGGTTGTAGGTAGGCACTTATGAAGAGTCCCAAAGTGGGACGAATCATCTCTTCAGTTCTCCAGGCTGGTTTTTAATGATTCCTTGAACTGCTGCTGGTTCATGACGAAGATACAACTATTTATTTTGCCACCAATCTGCTATTCTATGCAAAAATGTAACTGCCGCACAACTGGCTATTATTTGGAACAATAAATGTTATATTTTGTATCATTGTAAGAACCTGAAGAGAATTTATTGAAAGAAATTTTCTTCATTCTGACTGACTTTTAATTATTTAATTAGAGAATACAATTTCAGCACATACGTATTTTCAATAGTTCCTTTTCAGGCTTTCCACTTGCAGATTTTTGATACCAATGTGTGCTTAATAGAATCAAAGGTATGGCATATGAATTTTAGCAGATAAAAATCAGTATGAACGCAACAATATATTAATAAGAAGGAAAATTCCATAAAAGTGTTTATATGATTTTGGTAGATGGTGACTAGCATTGCAATCCAGAATGCATATTTCGTCCTCTTCGGTACTCGTCATCTGGACATGCCTTCATTTCTCAATGAGTGAAGGGGGAAGGGAAGGTAACAGGTAATGCTTTGGCATTTGAAACGACGGCTACTGAGTTCAGGGCTCAGTGGGACCACCATCACTTACTAAGGATTGCAAGTACATCCAGTTGATGAATCCTGATGGGATGAAATACGAATCGCGGATTCCACCAAAACTATATTATTATTGTTATTGTTCCCTTGGGTTCCCAGTGGAACATAGGGCTTCAACTGCACGTCTCCACTTGCTTCCGTCTTCTGCTGTACTTTCCACCTGCATTCATGTTAATCCATACTATTTCAACTTCTTCTTTACACGATCTCCTCCATGTCACCCTTGGACGTCCCACTCGCCGCTTCCCTATCCGGTTCCACTCGAGCGTTGGCCTGAAGCAGGATGTCACCCAGCGGCCTCCTCAGTGAGTGTCCAATCCATCTCCATTTTCTACTGTATATTTGTTGAGCGACTGGTTCTTGTTTTGTTTGTCCCCATAGTTTCTTGCTGGTGATTCTTTCCGGCCGGCCACCTGATCATCAGTATAGAACGAAGACAGTTGTTGATAAAGGTCTGCAACAGGCTGTTGGAAATATTCTTTGTGACCCGCCAAGTTTCTGATCCGAATAGCAAAACTGACTTAACGTTTGTATTGAAAATCCGAATTTTGTTGTTGATGCTGAGTTGAGTGACGAAGATTTCCAGATTGGTTTCAGGTTGATGAATGTGTTTCTCGCCTTCCCGATTCTCGATTTGACATCCTCGTCCGTCCGTTCCTCCTGTAGTTGAGACAATGCTCCCTAGATAAGTGAATGAAGTAACCTCTTTCAAATCCCTCCCGTTGATGGTGATTGGCACTGGATGTTGCTGCTGCTGTTGTTGTTGTTGGTTGGTTATTTTCATAACCTCCGTCTTGTCTATGTTCACCTGCAGTCCTGTCTTTGCTGCTTCTTCGACCAGTTTGTCGGTTTTCGCTTGTAAGTCTTCGATTTTGTGTGTAATCAAACATAGATCATCCACACGCGAAATCCAGGTCTTCTAGGTTCTTCACGTCGGTCCAGGATATCCCTGTCTTCTCGTTTCCCACTGTCTGACGCATAATCCAGTCCACCACAATTAGGAATATCATTGGTGATAATAAGCACCGTTGTCTGACTACTGTGTTTACTCCAAACGCCTCGCTGAGTTTTCCATTGTGGATCACTTGACATGTGCCGTTGTCGTACAGCTGTTGAATAAGGTTGATGAATATTTGGGGTGCGCCGTAGTACTCGAGTAGTTTCCAAATTACTTCGCGGTCAACGCTGTCGAAGGCCTTCTCAAAGTCTATAAAGTTGAGGTAGAGGTTTGATTGCCATTCCATGCTGTGTTCGATGATGATGCGTAGAGTTACAATTTGGTCAGAACATGATTGCAAGTCTACGCATCACCAAAATTACTTCAAGTTAATTCTCGGGCATCGTCAAAGTGTCTGTAGTAGTAGTAGTCGACGAGTCAACCAAAGCCAAACATTTCAGTCTAATCGATCAATGGGAAATGAAATTTGCACTAGAAATAGAGTGTTTAATATATTCTATGTAATCAATCATTGTGAATATGTGAACTTTACTTTAATTAACTCCAGTTGGTATCAAACGTCTATCTATGCTTAACCAAATTTACTAAGTCATTGTAAAGTCTGATTGAAAAAGAAAGTTGCTAAAATGGTGTTCTCTAATAATATTCAGAATGAGAATATATGTAAATCATTTTGATTAATCTCAGGATTTCATAGGTGAAAAAAAATCAGAGAATTAAATACCACCATGAAGATTATATATATGTCATCAGCTGATCTACCTACATTATCAGCCTTATTTATTATTATTGATTCCAGTGGTACGCAGTGAATTCAAAAGCACTTTTTTTGAAAGTATGCATTTCTGTTTGACAAACAAAATTTGTGACCGGAAAGTGGCAAATTACTTTGTTTACTCAAGAATATGTTTTTAAAATTTTGTCTATGATTCACTCAGTATTAAACAAATGATTGAGATTGTTGAAATATGTATAAATTTCGATATAAGTATAAAACTAAGGCACTGTGGTAGAGCATAACTCCATTATGGATAAGATTTTATTTTGATAATCACACCGTGTTGTACAGTAATATTAACTGATGACCACGTTTCCAGCACAAACTATTGCTCATAATCATATCAAGTTACTCACACAACTTTTTCCTTCATTTATATTTATGTGTGGAATCGATTAGACATTTGAATAAAAATCAACATAAGAAAATGTACTTTCAGAAATAATTAATACAACTGTTATTGATCAGTTACAATTAGATGGGAAATAAAACGAATGTTTCTATAGTCATAATAAGTTACTTCTTAGAATGTTGTGATATGCTTGAATTGAAATAGAATTTTCAGATTATTTATTATCCTCCTCTGATTTGACTGACTGGTGGTAATAATATCTTCCATATTTCTGGCATTTGCATTGAATCATTTCTGTTACATGTGTTGGGTGTAGACTCAATGAACAAGGATTCCGTAATCAACCTCTCTTTCCATCTACCTATGTTGCTCTTTAGAATTTTAACAATATCCCACCCTATTGTGTGGTTGTTTGTTAATGCGTGAAGTGCAATTGCTGAGCTTTTTTCTAAATTACTTATCTTTTCAGGGTCAACCATTCTTCCCTTAGCTAAATTTAGCTAACAGTCGTATTATTATTTCTGAATGTACATTATCTCATATTGAATTTTATTCTAATATCTAATTGATTTCATACATGTATATAAATGAAGGAAAAAAGTGTGAGTAACTTGATATGATTATGAGCAATAGTTTATGCTCGAAAAGTCATCAGTTAGTATTACTGTACAACACTGTGTGATTATCAAAATAAAATCTTATCCATAATGGAGTTATGTATGAATTTTGTTATGCCAGAGTTCTGATTGGAATTAAACCTCAGTTTATGTTTCTATTATGATCACCTCAGGGTATCCATGTTTATGCTTCAGATGAAGGATATGTTAGGTAGTCTTACTCATAATACTGCACTGGCGTTGCATGAATAATGCCTTGTAACTGATTGTTTTGGCTAAAACCGCTTTCAACAGAGATATTTTAGACACCTTTTAGTGATCTAGGATAGAGTTTTTTGGGATTTTTCATGTATGTTGATAAAAGGTAATGTTCACAGGATTTCATCATGAGCTGACGTCGGTTAGAGGACCACTGGAAAACCTGTGAGTACTAGACAGTTGTTTCGTCCTAGTTTGGGACCCTTCAGCAGTATGCACTCACCTTAAGGTTTCGAACCTAGGACCTACAGGTTACAAGGCGAGCTAGCTCGTAGACCATTCAGCCACTGGAACCCGATCCAATGGCCAGCCCTTGAATTCTTACTTCTGCCACTACATGACTAAGAATGGCTATCATAAATTTGAAAAGACTGATTAGTGAAAAAAGATTATTCTTTTCGGTAACTTCTTCACCAGCTTCTACAAATGCATATAGTTAAAAAGTTTTTGTTATGGAATGGGTGATAATGTGAATGAAAGTTTAGTATTAAACGGAATATCACGGAAACTCAAGGAAAATAATAAAGA